AGTACAAACCACGATAAAAAATTCAACATAGAATTCGATTTAAAAAAAATTTTAATGGTGATAATGGATTGCCAATGATCTTAAAAACATCTCTAGCTTCTCTTCTTTTTTTTAATTAGATATTGAAATTCGTCAAAAATTCAAAGTTTAGGGAAGAAAATGGAATAATAATACAAAAATTATAATTATTACAAAAGGGTCAAATGGGCGAACTTGTATTCTTAAAATGACCTTACCTATACACCCACGAAGTTTGTCTAACCTTCCGCCAAACACCCTGTATCATTTGATAGAAAGGGAGTGTAAGGTGCGCATTGAATTATTATAATTGAGTTTACTTTTTCGTAGCAGGTAATTGGCAAGCAGAACGAATGGGATTTACCTATTTAGTAACCTAATTCCCAGGGCCGGATCTACCTATGGGCTGATTGGGCTGCAGCCCAGGGCCCCGGGGTTACAAGGGGCCCTCAGATTCCGCTAAAAAGTAGGCCATAATTTGAAAAAAAAAAATTCTGTAAAGTTGGTTTACGGACGATATTTTTACGTGACAACGTCATAAGAAGTTTCAGCCCAGGGCCCCACAAATTCACGATCCGGCCCTGCTAATTCCTAAGTGGTTTCCAGTTTTAATACACTTATGATAATATTATCTAAGTACTGTAAATTCAAATTCAAATTCATTTATTTGCACAGGAACATGGTACAATACAGATGTCAGATAAAAACAATCAGGTTCAACATGTTTCGTCTACAAGACATGCAAAAATTTCATAGTCAATTACTTAATACTTAAAACTGGAGAACATCTATTTTAATCAAAATTAACAAGTAAAATATTCTTTAAAAATTTAAATTCGTTTTTTTATGACGATTCATTAGAAAAGAGGCGCTTCATAGGTTCCGCACACAGGCGCTGCCGGCGGTTGGCGCGGCCCTGTTATCTTACTTTGTTGAATATATTCGTAGAGCATGATTTGCTTAAAGAAGTTGATATTGAAAGTGTTATCTCTAAATTTGCCCACATTAAATCAAGAAAAGTTCATTTGTAACAGTTTTGTTTCATTTAATACCCTAAACTTGAGAACCTAAAGCAAACCAAGGGCCCCTTGATAGAAATTTGCTACAGGCCCCGCGCTGGCTTAATCCGGCACTGGGTTATCGCGTTGCGTATAATATGCGGGTGTTGATTTTGACTGCATGATATTCGATTCCATGATAGCTGTCAACCTTAAAAGATCAAACTTACGGCATTGTTCTGTTGGTATGCAAGTACCGTTGTCAGCTCGACGGTAGTTGAATTGGCACTTGCATCCAGCTGGAGGACAGGTAACAGTCTGGGGGCAAGTCTGGGGCTTCGCACTCTTGGGGCAAAAGTCCGCTTCGCAAACGACAGCACAGTCAACCGTAATTTCATTTGGGCCACACGCCTGCTGAGCTGTAAGATTAAGAAAAGAGGCTGACAATAGTGACTGAGTTTCTTGCACTGCTTCTTCTTAGCACTGGCCCATTTATTGTCCCGAAGCAGTGGTAGGGTTATAGTAATACTGAGACGTGTAAAAAAGCGTCCTAAAGGCCTATTACCTATTTGCAAAATAAAATGAATTTATAATTTCAGGAGGAGGTTCAAATCAGAGGAAGGAGGTTCAAATCAGACTGAGGTGGTGACTATACACCTATCAACATAAAACTGGGCCATCATGGTAATAAACCTACTTGCATTTAATGCTAATTTAAAATGCATGTCGGATGCAACAAGTACAAATAAATGTCAATTTATAAATTGTAATGCCTTTACCTACCTACATTAACTTACACGAAGCATTACATTTATTTACTTTCGTAGGCCCATCCACAGAGGCGGGGCAAGATCTAAATTTGATGTGGGCAAGACAGATTTCGCGAGGCCTTGGTCTGTGGCGACCTGAAGACGGATTTTATGAAATAATAAAAAAAAGGGTCAAAGGTCTATACCTACAATGACAGTTTCTGATTTCTTGATTCAGTGATTATTTTTAAAGGAATATTGCGCCAAAGAATAATGTTCGTCACTTAAAACCGTGTTGTTGCTTAATTTTGTGTCTGATTATGGCTGAATTTGTTTGGAAAAAAATATATTTTTATTTTTAACTACATTGTTTAGCTATCAAGAATTTATATTTAATAGTCAATGTTCGTATTGTGATATTGTCATCTCCACCTTGTATACATTTTTTTAAAATTTTTGATGCGCGAGGCCCCTTATACCGCGAGGCCGTAGGCGGTGGCCCACGTCGCCTACGCCTTACGCCGCCTCTGCCCATCCAAATAATTACTAATACTTTAAGCAACGTAACGAAATAAATATTATGCTAGCAAGCAATCCTTGATTTTGTATTTTCTAACATATGTTTTAAATAAAAGTAAATACTCACAATAACAAGTTGCACACAAGATGAGTAATATTCCAGTCTCAAAAACAATGTTTAGATGCGTCATCTTCGTGCAGGCTGTTTACAGTCTTAGAAACTACTAGCCTTATAAAAAGAAATTCTACAGTTCAAGAACAAAAATGAAAACAGTGTTACAAGTTACTCGATTTATTTACAAAAATAATTTGAAGGTTTTTTCTGTACTAATAGATTTTCCCTATTTAACGCCATCTAGCGGGTGACAGAGGATCTTAATGCTTGTAGTTTTTCATGAAAAAATAATTAAACCAAGGACAATAACGCAAGGTTCTACGAGTTCGCACTTCGTACGCAGTTTATCACGTATCACATAGATGTCGTTAAAAACAACTGTTCATGTTTTTCGACTTTGAGGTTTGAGGAGTTTGAGGTCGAGGACGAAGTTGGACTGTTCAGGTTCATTTATGATTTTTTTAGATAGTTACAAAGTTGAAGATTTTAGACGCCCACTGCTGGACAAATGCCTCCCCCAAGCATTTCCACGCGCGCTCTTCTTCTGCCACTCGAGAACTTTCTGCTCCAACGGCTATAAGTTTTATGAACTAAGCTATCTATGATTTTTTTTCATAAAAAATAAAGTTATTTGACTATGAGTTCAGCCTTCTATCGAAACAGGCATAACAAATGGAGTCAACAAAACTTTCTACAAGTGGGTTAAATTAATATTTGTGTATCCTTGTACTGAAAAGTGAATTGAAATCCATTTAATTGCATTTTGTTTGTATTGAGTCAGTGACAATTATACAGAGTATCAGTTGTAAGTATGGATAATAAAAGTTTTGATTCTATCTCCAAATGCAACTATTTTCTAAGAGAAAACAAAGTTTTCGATACAAATTATCACTATTAATCAATAAGAAACAGCGACAAAAGCCGGATGATATCGGTGTCGGGTCAGATTCGAGGAACGCAAGTTCGTTCCCTGTCGCCGCTGGACTTTGTGGTGAACCCACTCGTAACACAAGCATTTATTTTAGCTTACCACGAGGGGTTGATGAGACTAATTTAAAAATTACATCTAAAATTTTAATTTTATATAAAGTGTAGGTATGCTCCCCTCGCCATAACAAACCATACTAAGTATAAACATACAAAATTGCCTGAAAGTAAAAAAGCTGAAATAAACCAAAGCTTTATGATACGCCTGTCACCTGTGAGTTATTCTTTCAGGTAGAATTTCAAAGGCCGTAATGTATACAGGGTGTTTAAAAGGCCACAAAGTTACAAAGGGAAAATGTGTAAAATCCAGTCTTATATTTTAGTTTGTTTTTTTACTTAATTTATCAGAGCAGAAATCATCATTTACTCGTAGAAACAAAACTTGATTACGAATAATGACAATTTCGTAGGAAAAGAAATTGTAGAACAAAGAAATAAAGATCAGATTTTGTCATAGCCAACTATGTACTTCATCATGATCATTTCAGCCATAACACGTCCACTTCTGAACATAGGCCTCCCCCAATGTTTCCCAGATTTACCGGTTGGGAGCGGTCTGCATCTAGCCAACTACTTATGGTTAAGAAACTGACATACGGTCTAATCTTCTATCTAAACTTTTATGACTCAATAATGAGCGCCCGTTGCTTAAATTATGTAGAAAGCCTTGAAGGTCAGGTCACCTATTGTCTAGTGGAGCTGGTGGACCAGCAGAGTTCTTCCGAAAAACTTTGCACCCTGTATGTAAATACGCCTTAGCATGATGAAAACGAAAAAAACCTTATATTTATTGAACCGTAAATAAACAGAAACACCATGAGAGCACATTTCATCTCAGAATAAGTCAGTTCGAACTGATAAAGAACACGTACGTATTCATTGTAATTCGGCCCAGATTGTGTTCATACAAGCTTATGTCAAGGCGAAAATTGAAGAAAATTCTTCTAACAAATGTTTTGTACTTTGCTTAGCCTAACTCTTTTGCTCGCATGAATTTTGTTTTGTCAATGCCTATCAGATCATGAATAGCTTCTAAGACATTCATGTTGTTCAGAATAAAAAATATGCCACACGTTAATTTAAGTAAAATCATTATGTATCTTAAAATTTTTAAGAAGCTGATAGGTAGTTACCTCTGGGTAGGGATGTTATGGATATGTAGTTTCGGTTATGGATACGGTTACGGATATAGGAATATTATTATACCGGTTTCGGTTACGGTTCCGGATATTTTTTTATTTCGGATATCCGAAAGTTTCGGTTACGGTTATGGATATCAATAACATCCCTGCCTCAGGGACTCGAACCCAGAACCTACAACTACTAGAAAGTATTTAGTCCTTTGCATGTTTCAACTTAACACTGTTCTGCTCTATCTTTTCCTTTAAAATTATTTACTTATTGTGGAAATACCATCCATTTAATTCCTTTGTCACACTTTGTACGTTAATACTACGCACATTTCGCAACGTTGTCTCATACAAATAGGTCCTAATTTTTCATGTCGTCATTTTCTGCGTATATTCGTTGATCAAAGTGAATAATGTCGAAAACAATAGCGGTTTGTATGAACAGCTTTTTCGTATTGTTTACTTTAAAACACGCTTTTATAATAATGTAGGTGTTTGCGGGAACAGTATAGTGTAAACCGGTGTAGATGTCACCATGAAGGCTCAAGTGATATTTTATAGCGCTCTAATAGCGACTTTTTTGGATCTTGCAGGTGAGTTTAGTGCATTTTAATTCCATATTTTTAGGAAATATCTAGTTAAAATTTATTAAAATGTTTGTGTAGAATTTAGCTGTGATTGTTACTTTAATTTATTGTCTCTTGAAACAAAAATGAGGCCTCGTTATTTTTTACGCAGAATTTTACACAAGTGTGTCTTTTATACTAGCGTATTGTTTCTATTTTATAACTTTTTCTTCGCATACTTGTACGATTACACTTAGGCTGAGATGCACAACCTAACTTTAACCGTAACTATAACGATAACCGGTGCTTTTTATATGGAGTTTGACAGATTTTTGACGTTTGCTGTTTTCTTTCAGCTTCTTTACCTTACGCCGCAGATTTGCAAAGATACTCACATCCTTACCAATCGAGGCCATCGTACTTGCCTCAGCCGCAGTACCAAAATGTAGGTCAACGCCACTATGATGGATATAACAACCATTACCAGCTACCCCAAGAACAAGAACTACCAAGAATCCACCAGGATCATGTATTTGCGAACGAACAACATTACTTGAACAACGCCCCTCCACAGATCCAGCCTGAAATAACTAATGAAAGATACGTTAACCAACAAAAACTACCAAACCCATACTATGCTCATAATGTTCCACAACAACACTACCAGGACAATAATTGGAGGGGACCAAACCATCAAGTCAACGAAAATCAGCACATTAATGTCGTGTATCCAGAAGTTTCTGAGGGCCATAACTATCCGCAACCAGTTATCCAACACAGATACCCAGAAAATGTAAGGCACGATGACAGAGTACCGCCAAGTCCTGTGGAACATTCTTATTATCTACCAAGTGGCGGTAACTTACCGTACGAAGAAAAAATTCCAGTACAAATTCCACCCAAGAAAGTACATGACAACCAATTGTCACCTGTCGAACATTTACAAAAACCTCACGGTCTTTCTGAGATACTGGCTCAGTTGTTTTCACCGCCTATGCCTTCATTTCCAGCCCATAGCGTTCATTCAAATAACGATGGCGTAAAACCAGTTGATAATAATCTTCTTAGAGCAGAACCGGTCCAAGAACACGAAATCCCGGTAATACCCCCTCCTCCTACACCCTCTCAAATTGAAAATGGAACTCCATTAAGCGCTAGTGAACGGCAATTTGCGACGGCAGGTAACCCTGTGGAGCAAACACCAGTTCCTGAAACACAAAAAAGTGAGTAGAATCATATATTTTTTTCATAAAACAGCTGTCAATGGTGACCGTACATAAAGATATATGTATTTACGCTTCATTTTACGCCATGACGTGACTCATTTATTTTTTTGTTTCAGAACCAAATGCTGAAAAAGTATTTTCTGACCCCAGAATTCAAAACGTTTTGTCTAACACTAAACATATAAAACGTTATTTAGTTATTCATCCAGATGGGAGAATAGAGCATGTGGATAAATTGGAAACTGTAGCAAAGGACCATCCAAATTACATTTTAGTCAACGCTGGGGACATCGTACCAACTACTAGCAAAAATGGAACCGTAGAAAACAATGCTGTACCTTCACCTTCTAAACCTGTTGAAGAAAAAACTCAGCCTACAAATGGACAATCAGTGCCAACGAATAAAACAGTAGAAGTCTCACCCATTAACAAAACATCTACGGTAAAAGCCGAGGCAATAATCAAACCACCATCAGCACCTGAGGCTGTTTCTACGACTACAACAGCTCCTCTACCATCATCTACTGCATCATCAGCACCTACAAGTACCCCTGCTATAGTTGTTGCAACATTTGGCCCTGCTGCAAATGCATCAATTGCTGCTCCTACTACAAATGCACCAATTGCTGCTCCTACTACAAATGTACCTATTGTTGCTCCTACTACAAATGCACCAACAACTGTCCCTGGTAAAAACGCACCAACTACTGTCTCTGCTTCCAACGTAACAACTACCACACCTGCGCCTTCCGTACCTGCCCCTCAAGCAGCAGCTAGCGTGGTTGTATCCACTGCCCCTGTCTCTTCACCTCAAGCCACTTTGCCTGCCTCTATACCTCAAACTAGTACGTCTGCACCTTCGAAAAATAGCACAACAGTGCCAACATCAACTCCGAAAAATATTAAACCATCCGACTTAGAAATAAAAAAAGAAGTCTTACCATCAGATGTAAATAATAACACGGAACTGGTTCCTAACAATCCGCAAAAGACTGTACCAAATAAAACAACTGAAGTTACTCCAACAACTCCTGATTTAATGAGTTTTACTTTTGCTATGTTAAAGGCGCTGGCTCCAACTAATAGTCCTCCAAAACAAACTTCAGATAGTACTCCTAAACCTACTACAGAAAGTACACCTGCTCAAACTTCTGCTGGAAATAAGGAACAAGTTACTCCAACTCCTGCACCAATCATTGTTTCAACTCCACAACCTAATGTTGAGCAAAGTACGCCAGTGAAAGTTTTGGAAATTGTGGATCCAGAAGATTCTAATAATAGTACCCAGGCGCCACTTGTAGTGCCAGTTCTATACGATCCGACTGAAGAGGTAGAAGAACCTAGCATAGATCAATATATCCTGGATACTGCTAGCGACAACGTTACACCAAATCCCGGTGAGAATGTTCCTGATTTAGGTGGTTCAAGTAAGTAATACTAATTTGTTCAAAAAGGTTCATTAATCATTCAGCTTGCAAATCGCGTTGATTCTAAATTCACTTAATTTTGTTTTTTCTTTACAGATATCGTGGCTAAAGTACCTCACGACCCAGTTGTTTGGTTCCGCACCTCGGATCCAAACTTTTGGCGTAAAATATCTGATAAACATCCCGGATTTGACATAGTATACTTTTTCCAAATCCATAACAAACCGAAGGTTCTTCACGACACCAAAAGAACGGTGTTCGCAAACGGAACTGTTTTGGAAGAGATTACTGAAACCTCGTACGATTATGAAGGCGGTAAGTTGACTTGAAACTTTTGTAAAATAAGAAATTAATTTTTCATATGGATCAAGTGTATGAAGATGATTTTGTTTGTTACAGCTGACCCCAAAGTAAAGAAAACCACCACACTGAAAAATCCTGAGCAGCCTTGACGGGAATTCAAAGATGTTATCCTTTATCGTATTTATTAATTAATATTACTATTACCTAAGATTTAGTGCCTCATTATATTTTATAAATAAAACATTTTAATAAACCTCTGTTCCTTTCATAAGCTTTTGAGACTTACTAAGCGCTACCTTAAAATTCGCAATGGCGAATTTAGAAAATGTAAACAAGATAAAATTCTTGCTTTCCCAATTTGTAACCGACTTTGTAACATAAGCATTTCCCACAAAATGCTATAAGACAAATACAATTCATACTGGGTAACAACAACACTGGAAACGTTTACGAAAATTAAGTAAATATGTAGATTTGCGAACTCGCAAATTCGCAATTGCTTCGATAAATTTCCCAGGGTGGAAATAGGCTTTTGTACAATCGTCAATAAGGGTTGTTTTAATGTTAATGATGTTGCTAAAAATCCAGGGCACTTTTTACGAATGTCGATTATTCCACGCTGAAAATAAAAGGCACCTAGGATTGCATTCACTTTCGAATAAAGTTTATTATCCAGTTTGATAAACGGTATTTACCGTATCAAAACTACAATCACACTCTATTCCCTTTTTTAAACTACGCGATATCATATTTTTGGAACGAATCTTTTGAAGTTAGTTACATATAATATCTGCTGATAATAGTGACTGATTTTCTTGCGCAACATCTTCTCAGCACACTGGCCCATTTATTGTCCCAAAGCAGTGGTAGGGTTAATACTGGGTCGTGTGTGCTTTTTAAAAGCCTATTTGCAAAAATAAATGAGTTTTTAGGAGTTTTTATCAATTTACATGGATTTATACATAGTACACATATCTAGAATAAATCTTTTAAAAACTTTTCGTGTGTTGTTACAAAAACTAAGCATGGCTTATTTACACTGCCTGGCGCTTGAAAGAGGCCACTCTTTCGTATGTTAGCACAGTAATAACGTCACTTAATCACCTATATCTTGTTTCACAAAGAAACAGATTGCTACAAACGTAGTTTGTTTAATAGAGACAATGGAATTCGTTAAGTGCATACACAAATTGTTCTAGCACAAAAGCGCCTTTGTGTATTCTTGTGATTGCTACGGCTATCCAAATATGGGTGTCATAATTTATTTCGCGTATGGTTCTTTGTTTCGTGGTATAGTCTAATTTTCAATTTGACCCAATAATGATTTGAGATTTCTGTTAGTTCTTACATTTTTAATGAAACCAAAAAGTGGAAATTCCTATTTAATAAATTGGCGGTTGTTCTATCTTTACTCGACTAAGGTCCGATTCGACCAAACTTATCCGAGAATATAACTGGCACATTGACAGTTTCAATATGGGAAATAATATGTCAAAACTGACGATTTATTCTGAGATTAATATTTTAGTTTTACTCTTGTTTGGATTCTCTTGAATTCATCCTTAAGGGATCAATATAATTAAGTGTATAATAAATGTCTCTATAAATTGGTGAAACAAGTTAGTCCCAAATACTCGACGAGCATCGCTAAGCAGACATGAATATTTAAAAAGACGGTTCTATACTCGTTTTCAGACTTTATGTAGTTATTATAGTATGAAGGCCTTATAATGAAGGCAGATAAAGTTTTTGATAATTCTCTCAAATTGGCCTTCCTTTTCTCAAAGACATACCTACTAACCTTTTTTCAATAAGTGAGACGTAGATTTTTTAAGCCGATTAAAACGCTTAAGGCTTTTATTTTGAAACAAATCTGAAAATTATACCTATGTAAAGTTTTGACTGTACTTACTGTATTTGGACCATTGAAAGTCAGACTTGAAAAGGTTTTTACGCCAATTTAATATGAACTCGTCAATACTTAGTTATTTTCCACGTCAATCGAGGTTACTTAGAGTAGGCGCACACCGTTGATATTTAGTTGGCCGATACTTGTGCCCGATTTTAATTTGTATGAAGAATCGGCCAAATTGAATCGGCGTAGTGTGCGCACTCCCATATGCTCATATTGATCAACTGCCCGACTAAACTATCGGCCGACGAAAAATCAACGGTGTGCGCCTACTCACTGAAATAAATTCATATTTGTTTGCCATCAAACATAAGTTGACGTCCGTTTAATACCAGGTTCATTACCAGGCAATCGGAATTCTCTGAATTAATTAATTTGTGTTTTGTTCTTAATTCGTCTTGGATTGATGACAGTAATGGCTTTTGTATTAATTGCACAATATGTCTGACGAGTGATGTTTTTGGGGCTTTAATTAAGCCCGTGTTCTTCGGGCCGATCAGCGGAGGTAAGTCTTATTGTATTTTTTAATAATGATAAAATGTGGAATGGTGGTTATAGAGCAAGCAATTTTTGAGCTTATCATCATCATCATTTCAGCTGACGTGGAAAAAACTCTCAGGGACGTCCACTGCTGAACATAGGCCTCCCCCAATGATTTCTACAATGACTGGTTGGCAGCGCCCTGCATCCAGTGCCTTCCTGCTACCTTTATGAGGTCGTCGGTCCACCTTGTGGGTGGACGTCCTTCGCTGCGCTTTCCGATATGTGAACTCCTCTCCAGAACCTTGCTGCCCCATCGGCCGTCAGTTCTGCGTACATCATACCTGTCCTGCCGATTACCACTTCAGTTTGCTAATTCGTCGAGTGTTATGAGCCCAGCTCATATGAAATTCAAAATCATTATCAAGTGTACATTGGGTCATAAATTCAACTTAAAACTTAATCATAATTAACTTATTATAGACTAGCGGCCGCCCGCGACTTCGTACGCGTGGATCCCGTTTTACCCCCTTCATCTATCTTACGCGGTTTAGATTTTTTCATACAAATGTTTTTTTCCGCTAACTCCCGTTCCCGTGGGAATTTTGCAATATCCTGTTGTAACTAAGCTTCAAGTTTACTAAGGTACCTGCATGCCAAATTTCAAGCGTCTAACTTAAGCGGTTTAGATTTTTCATACAAATGTTTTTTCCCACTAACTCCCGTTCCCGTGGGAATTTTGCAATATCCTGTTGTAACTAAGCTTTAAGTTTACTAAGGTACCTGCATGCCGAATTTCAAGCGTCTAACTTAAGCGGTTCAGATTTTTCATACAAAACGATTTTCCCGGTAATTCCCATTCCCGTGGGAATTCCTAAGTATCCTATAACCTGCCCAGGAGTATGAAGAATAATTGTACCAAGTTTCGTTAAAATCCGTCGAGTAGTTTTTGTTTCTATAAGGAACATACAGACAGACAGACAAAAATTTTACTGATTGCATTTTTGGCATCAGTATCGATCACTAATCACCCCCTGATAGTTATTTTGAAAATATATTTAATGTACAGAATTGACCTCTCTACAGATTTATTATAAGTATTCCCACAACATTGCCCCCGGGAACATCACGTATTTGGTCAGCGACATGTTCCGCAACACGCTGCTTCATTTGTGTTCTAGTGTATCCGTGACCGTGACTTTAAATTATCGTTAAACGGTTCTTGTTGAAAATCAAAATAAGAGGCAGCTGTGAACGTGTGTTGGCTGTTATGACAATGATGTATACTTACCTACATAAACATGCTTAATATTTCTGATGTACTAGTACTTTTGAGACTTTCAATTTCACAATCTACCAAAGAAAAGGTCCCCCCAACCATAGTTCCCAAAATAACATAAATGTCACTCACACACAACGTCCAGCTTGAAGGCATCCTCGATGCTCTGTCCGGGCAGCGCGCTGTTGTCGGCTTGGCACTTGACTTGCACGCCGTCGTCCTCCGGCAGAGGCATGAACTGGAGGTTACTGCTCACCCACGTCTCGTTCATGCTTTCGGTTATCTAGAAGTAAGTATTTTGTTATGATAAAGTATCAATGTTAGGTGTGGACAGAACAGTTCTTGGAAAAAATGTTTATCAAATTTTTTAATCGAGATATTGGTGATAGATATAAATATTAATATCAGTCATGGCCAATCAAGTGTGCATGTTTGATTTTGATTCCGTCTTGGTTCATCATTGGATCCGTTTGTAAACACCCTTTACCTTATCTTGGTTTAACAAAATCATCAAAATATTTTTCATGTAATAGAAATGAATCCTTCCCAGTTGCGGTTCAAAACCACTTGTAATTTAGTCTTGATTTCTTAACAAATCCAATCTCTAGAGCTCTACCCACATTTTTAATGAGATGAGATTTTCATAATTATTACTATTTCTGGAGAAAAAACTTTTCATAAACCGCAAATGCTTAAAGTAAGAAAATAATTTTGTTTCCCTTCCCAGATTTAGTCTTAAAGAAAAACAACTCTAGTTATATCCAAAAATAGTAAATTTTCTACAATAACGCTTTTTAATTAAGATTTAATATTCCACTCACCTTTCCTCTCTTAAATTTTCTGTTTTCTTTGTACCACGTGAGCTGAGCTGGTGGTCTACTGCCTTCGGAGACGCACGTGAGGCTGATGTACCTCTCTGAAGACAGTGTTGCTGGTTTGTTTAATATTTCTACTAGGGTTGGTCTTACTGTAACAAACATTTTAGGTCAATAAAAAATTGGAGCGGGCAGCGCAGGACCGTTCATTGTGGAAATCCTTAGGGGAGGCCCTTGTCCAGCATTGGACGACAATTGGCTGAAACGAACGATCGAATGAAAAAATTGAAAAGTCATTTAGTGTGCACTGCAGAGGAATGAATGACAAATGGAGGATTTGGCCTCCAAGAACACTGGCCAGACTGAGTTGAAGAGAAGAGGCCATCCATTTGTCCCTTAGTCACCTCTTATGACATCCACAGGAAGAGTGAGAGTGGTTCTATTCTGCTTAGATGAAACCACTGTGAGATCACGAGATTGAACTGTCTCAGTATTGTTCATATCACTTTACTTGGCAATTAAAGATTTACACATCTCACTAACTGGTATGTATAAACAACTCGGTGTTAGTCTCTTACTCTTCTAAAATGAAATTCTGACTACCAAAAATACTTACAATTCATTTCCAGCCTAACAGTCTTCTCCTGCGGGCTGACTAGATTAGTATTTGAGGCTCTACACTTGAAGGTAGTGTTTAAATGGCTTCTTTTCACGTGTGGCAACTCCAGCCGGTTGACCACGACGTGGGTGTCAGTCTTCTCACCGATGTACTGGGACGCTGGGGTCCCGTTTATGAGCCACATCACTGTTGGTGCTGGACGACCTGTTGGAGAAAAATAATTTATGAATAAAAATACACATAACTTTGCGAAAGTAACTCTGTCTGCCTGTGTTGCTTTCACGCCTTAACCACTGAACCGATTTTGATGAAATTTGTCATAGAGATAGTTTAAGCCCCGGGAAAGGATATACGTAGAAGACCATCGTTCGTCACCTGCGGCTATAATCAATTGTTCAAGTAATACATTTCTCTGAATCTAGATAGCTATAGTACGAATTATTTGCATCTTCATAATTTGCCGCTTGGTATTTTAACTAATAATACTTGAGTACCTACCAGTCAATGACTAGTTTGATATCTCGAGTTTAAATTCTAAAAAGTTGCAATCTTTGTGCAAGAATTCTTAGGGATTTTACAACAATATTATCAACGTGAACACGCCCAATGATATTACGCGTAATAAGCGTCAAAAACTTATACGCTTTGTTGAAGTACTAAATTTTAAGAACGCTTAGTAATCAAATGCGTTCATATATCTCAGCATATATGAATTTCAAATGCTAATTCGGGTAATTTATTATAAAATCGCTCTTGAAACTTCGAGCCGCTTAATAATGCCGTTATGAGCAACGGGCGAGTTGAACTTCAAGTGTTTTCGGCCAATTTTCGTATAAGTACAAACATTTTCCTTTAAGCCTTCGAGAGTAGTTGGTAATTTAATATTGGAGGTGAATTATAGACGTATAACGTCGAATATGTTATGTTGACTGGAATAAGTCATATCGAAGCAATGGGTCTCGAAAAATATGAAATAAATAGGGGAGAGTTCGGTATATTGTACCGCCGGGTAAATTGTACCACCCTCATATTTCGTAAAGTATTTATTGAATGTCTGTATAGCCTGACCAGGAACATAAAAACCCTCGCCATGTTGCGGAAAACTAATGGTACTAATTTCTTTTAATGGCAACAGTAACTGAAAACTTCATTCACATGTCACCTTGCATGTCAGTCTATTGTTGTCAAAGTGTAAACAAACTTTATTTTAAATGTGTGCAATTGATTTCGTGAATTAAATTGCTAAAATATTTTTATAGTCGTGAAAGAAAAGTGGTTCACGATGTGTTAATGTATTTGTCGAAGAGAAATACTAAGGGTTCGGACAATATTTTCATTGAATAATGCTTCCGACAAAGGTTGTCAAATTGACTGACATGTTTATCGTATGGTACAGTCCACTATGAAAATTAGCTGTGGTTTGTTTCAACTACCTACTCTTCAGGCAGAGAGTTCCAGAGCCTTATGGCCTGGAGACGGAAGGAGTCGGAGAGAAAACCAGTTCGGTGAAGAGGGGTGGAAAGAACGGATTTGTTGGAGGAACGGAGCTGACGTGAGTGCGTAGAGCTGAGAAGATTAAACTGAGACTTAAGATATGAAGGAGAGTTGGGATCATTTAGAATTGAAAAAAGGGTACAGAGAATTCTGACTTTGCGTCGAAGTGGGAGAGGCAACCATTGAAGCTGGGAACGGTAAGCGGAGATATGGTCATATTTACGGAGACAGAAAATAAAGCGAATGGCATTGTTGACAAGGCGATCCAACTTTGTAAGTAGATCTTGATTCAGGTCGGGGTAACAGACGTCGGCATAGTCGATTATCGGGAGGACAAGAGCTTGAATGAGGGAAATTTTCGTTTTTGTTGGGAGGAAGTTTTTGAGCCTCCAGAGGGAGCGCATTGTGGCTGTAACCTTCCGACTGACCTCTGCAACCTGTACATTCCAGCTGAGCGTGGTGTCCAAGTGCAAGCCAAGGTTTTTGACGCTTGCACAGTAAGGAATGTCAACTCCATTAAAGTTAACCGGTGGCACACCGTTGAGGTGACATATTTGACGCTGACTTCCAATAATTATGGCTTGGCACTTGTTAGGGTTGACGGCTACACCAAATCGACCAGACCACTCAGCAATGTAATCAAGATCAGCATTAATATACTCCACAGCCCTGTTGATGTCCTTGAAGTGGCATTGACGGTAAAGTTGCAGATCGTCTGCATATAGATGGCAAGAGGGGCTCCTCTTGTCAAAAAAAAATCAAAATCATTTTGGTAAAGTTATTGGCTAATAACTTTACCAAAATGATTTTGATTTTTTTTTAGTAAATCATATTTTGAAGTTATAATAGGGTAGTTATGTTTGACTAACAATAAATGAAAGCAAAAGACTGGCAAAGTAGATTTGGTACAAGTGTGCGTTACGATAATTGGAATTACAAAACTTGTACTCAAAATCGTGATAACGTGTAAAACAATATCGATTGTCTTGTTATTAACTACTGTTCCTTTTCGTTTTCTAATTTGTTAAGAATGTATCGTACAATATTTTGCCATAGTTTTTTTAAAGGCTTGAAATTTATTGAAATCCAATTTAGTAACCCTGTGGTACAAATTATCGAACCGGTTGGCTAAATTGGACCGAAGCTCTGAACTCGTATTTTGTTGATTTGTGCTAAATATACAACAATCATGTTAATTAATACTTATGAAATAGTAAGTTGAATAATGTATCTTTTATTATATACCATGGACATTCGCAAAAACAAAAGAAAACTATGTGTAAAATGGGATTGAAAAAAACTGGTCCAAATTAGCGGACTCTCCCTTATCCTTAGACATTTTTACACTACTGAGCAAAGGTTGTAATGCAATGGATACTAGACAACAGACAACGGATAAAACATACTTAAATCCTTTTTTTTCTAGATGATGTCTAGATGAAAATGAAGGCGAGGCGAGAAAATAAGATGAGAATCGTTCCAGAGACACTAGTGACAGATCCTTCTATAGATCCTGTACTGATTATTTTAGACTTCAACTTCAAGTACTAAGGCCCGGTTTTTTGATTCGTAGTTAAAATAACCAATGGTCAAATTTGACAGATATCAAATGACAAGTGGTTAAATATCAGAAAAAAATGTTTTTCGAACAATGGTTAGCTCAACTTTTAGTACATTTTGTAACTATTAGTTAACATTTTGTTAATATTTAACCATTAGTAGCAAAATTTAACAATTTGTTATTTTAACTATGAATCAAAAAACTGGGCCTAAGTGACGAGAATGAGGTTAAATGAACATGATCGATCATAGAAGTTAAATCTATAAATAGACATCTGTGGTTCTTCTATCCATAAAGTATCCTTCGGACAAGTTAGGATAAATTAGTCTGCTAAGCAACAAAACTAACTTGGACTCGAAACTCGGATTCGACATGCAATTGATAACTTTGACACTTATATTCAGGTCAAACACGACCGACGACCCTGCGAGGGCCAACAACTTTGAATTGAAAGGTTTTTCCTGGAATCCTCCGAAGTTATTCGATAGGTTAAAGGATTTGGATTCCGATTTGAAATAATCATTTTCTGAATGTTGCTTGAAATAGATAGGCAATGCAAATAAAGTTGTGTTTCTTAGATAGGAATAATATTTTATTTTATTTTATTTTTCTTTATTCAGAAAACCACAGCTCTTTATAATAATAATACAAACAGGTATTTTTGTTCTTACAACCAATAATATTGTAATTCGAACTTATTATTTTAAGAAAGTTTTCAGATTCTGCATACCTATTTTGAAAAATAACAAACAGAATCGTTGAAGAGCTCTTATGTGCAATGTGCAATCTTGTTTATTCAGTTGTAATTGTTTTATGCTTTTTGTCCTGCACAGTCTGCCTTTACATTTGTATAGAAATGTAGATAAAAATTTTGAATTTGAATTTAGTTTTGCTTTCTTACTTCTTCCTTCCAAAGTAGCTTTATTTTCAAAAGTTTGACCTTGTGTAAGCTTTAGTTATGAGAGCTTTTTACTGACTAAGACACTGTTCAAAATAGATGCGTATCACGTACACCTTAATTTATAAGGTAAACTTCATGAAAATGTCAAATATACGCGTGCGGTACGGTTCAGAGCCAAAGCACACGATGCGTTGCGGCGCCGCACTGCAAAGATTTCGCCGTATCGCGCAACGCGGCGACGCACCGCTCGTGTGCCCGCCACAGATATTTCTATGTAAGACGACGCAGACGCAGCGACACCGCTCCGGCGTCGCGCCGCCGCCGCAACGCATCGTGAGCTTTGGCTCTCAGGGAATTAGCCTCGGCCACGTCTGGCGAGGCCGTAATTACGTTATCGCCGACTGCTGTACGCCGTATTGATCATTCCACGTCACTTGACGTAATAAACCGGCGACTTACAAAAATGGAGGGCTGTGTTTTTATTGTTTTACACCGAGCTGTTGGCATTTAAATATAGTGTATGCGGTAGATTTTTTTACGGTATTTTTATATTGTATTAAAGCAGTTGCTTCTATAACCAACTCACATATTTTATGATACAGATTTTGAGCAAAAACATGAAAAATGGGGATAAAATAAAAAGCACAAAATGAAATGTTTATAACACCTAATAAGTTAAGACTAAGAGAGAAGAATAGTAAAAGCTGCGTTTTCTATTTATTAGCTTTTTATTCTTCAATTGATTTACTATTTCCAGTAAAATACCTATACTTACTTTCTAACTAGTTCTATAAATGCCCGGTCATTTCGACTAATGTTTAATCAAGCACACAAGGAATAACTTCAAACTTAGTTTTTTGTTCTTAAACATAATTAAAGTTGACTAATTACTTTCTAACCTTTCAAGATAAAGGCACTCAGAAAGTTTGTCTAATCGGTACATAGTTTGTGTTAGTAGAGTGGTAATTTTGAGTTCGATGGGTCTAAATGACACCTTGACGTTATATAACTTTTCAGTTAGGTGTATCTTTAGAGTAATTATTGACAAATAAACTTTTGGTTAAAAAATGTTTTATCGGTTACTTGTATTGTTTATTAAACAAGGCTTCGAGATGGATTCGATAATAGTTTTAGTAGTTTTATTTACATAAAGACAAGAGAGTGGAAAATTCCTATGCCCCTCATAAAGCTTTCGAATGTCAACTAACGCAATTGATTTACATATTTAAAGCTTTAAAGTTCATAATCAACATTATTATTTTCTGAGTTAACTGAAAAATGTAAGTTGCAAACAGGTAAGTTAGTAGCTAATATCTATTTTGTACCATTATGACCAAACCTTCTGTCTTTCTTACAATATTGTTTAATAAGTATTTTTAGACTTGATTTGATTTAATATAATAAAAACTCGCCAGTCTGCTCGTTATAAATACTTCTCCCTACTTTCCCAAAAAGAGCAGGAATTTTTTTCCGCCATTTATTTACAGAACGTTGCCGCGTTGTCCTAAAAGATCTAAAGATCTTATGTAAATTACCTTCCAAACTCATCGTTGTTAGTCCCAAACTTTGCCTTGATGACGAGAATATTTCAAATAACAATTTCCCATCGTGTACACATCCGGAGCGTCACAAATCACGACAATATCAGTCAAGAAATAAGCATAAGTTCTCCCCAAAGTGGGAGATGAGAAATTAAACCGATTACTTTGATATATTGCCGTTAAACTTGCCGATAAGTCACTTCCAGGATCGGCACGGCACGGTGTAAAGTTATACGCTTCAAGCCTTGGAGGAAAGCGAGAAATTAGACGCCCCAATACGTTTAATAGGAATGTTTGCAGAAATTTTTGGATTTGCAAGATATAGGTGATCTTTTACATAAACGATTACACGGTTGAGTGGTGCGTTATCTTGTACTGCTCAAATAACCTTCTGCCTAAATGGTTATCCTCAAACACATACTCACAAAATGATAGTTAATTATCTTAAGCTTAACCTAGTAAAGCCGCATTTCCAATCTAGTAGTTAGAAATTTATTAAAATACAATTAAAAAGATTAATAATCCCCATTTACCTAAATGGACGTGAACTAGACACGATTTTATGAAACGATACAAACGAAACAAAGCTTAATAAATCTAGACTCAAGAATACTCAAGATAGAGTCATGCGTGATACTGGAATTTGATTAATCACAGACCAATACTTTAAATAATTTTGAGCGTCGGGTTTTAGTGTCTCAAGATTTCAAAGTTCCATCATCACCCGATTTAAGTGTGCCAAGATTTTTCCGTGTCATTTAAGCCAGCCGCAGCTCGCAATACCCGTAATCCCCGGAGCCTTAATTCCGAAGTTGTACGCATAACAATATTTTCTGCCGATATGAAAGCAAGTTGGGAATCTTCTGTGTAAACCGGGCTTAATCCTTTCAAGCGCTTAATGTTTCGAGTTGGAATTATGCATAGCCCAGGGGATTAGCGGGTTGTCATCCCATGTCGCCCGCGAACGACTCCGCTGGATCATTTTCATGGTACACTGTGCTAACAAATGGATCACTCAGTTAGTTTCGGGTAAGTCGTGAACGGTTTTGTTTGTTTGGCTACGCCATTTTGTATTAAATTCGATGGGGAAGAAAAATGATGGTTTCAATACGATGGCGTTTTCTTAGATTGCGTTGCTGTAAGGTTTTTTTTAATTAAGTAGTTTCGTTAGAAGACTGAGGCTTATATCTAAGAATAATTAAAGGTGCACCCAGTGATAACACGCACACGCTTATGACTGTCAAATTGACAATTTGAATGAGATTGTCACATAGTACTGTACCGCTCTTTTACGCCCGCTGTTTGGCAGAGTCCTAGGTTATGCAGCTGTATATGATTCTAACCAAAAGATTGGTTCAGGCAATAAAGAAAGATGAAACTAGTTAATTAAAATTTGTCAATACTCAATGGAAAAAAAATTAGGTCGTGTTTTTTGTTAAAAATAAAATTTTACTATATGGAATCCTAGATTTAATTTTGTGAACTTCCATTTGACAAGAAAATTTTCATGTCATAATCATAGTCATAATTAATGTTATGGCATCATGTTGGTACATTTGGATCTTTATTCATACAAAGAATAACATTTTTTTGTCAATTATTGAATTGAAACTGAATGAATATTATTTCATCTTTTACTTGGGTGGGCCGTAGAATCAAGATAACCAAAAATATATTGAAATACCTTTATTCAATTGCCATAACCCAATATATTCGGTCATCAAATAATAATTAAGGCAAAGCTTACAATTTTAAATCCATTTACTTAATATCGTTTCAAATAAATCCATGTCATCATTGTAAGTTTTCATAATTAAAAATACCTGGCCAACTATTACTATTTATTTATTTATATTTATTTTCTCTATTAGATATGTGAGGAGATCTCTGTGAGGAGTCTGAGATAACCATGTTAAATGGATGAACGAAATTCAAGTCAAACTGTCAAGTTCAGTAACACTAGCTTACACATGATAACTAATTAAATTATTAAGGCTAAGGCTAGGTTGCACCATCTTTATAGCTACGGTTAGCCTAAGATGCAACTTACTTTAACCGTAACTATAACCATAACCGGTTGTCTTTGTATATAGTTTGACTTTTGACGTTTGTTACAGTTAACGTAAGATGGTGCAACGTAGGGCTAATTAATAATAATTCAACTAACCTCCTCTGACTTCGCAAACCAGCACCAGCTCGTTACCCTCTTCTAAAGGGCCGACTACTCCAGACACGTCTCGTCCTGACTTGTCGTACAGGATCAGCTGATGTGGTGGCACTGGAACAAAAGAAAAGTATTAAAACGATGTTTAGAAATTCCAAAAGGTTAATGCACTTTTTCAACCGATTCTGAACTCTGACTGGTAATTTCTGATTTCAGGATTTGTCATCTATTTGACAAGGAAATAATAATAATTAAAATTTAATCTCAATGTAGTGTTTCAAAGGGCCTAAAATTGTGTTTGTACCTATGTGTGCTTGAGGACATCGTAGTCATGAGTAAGTAATACTTACTCGATACACGGAGTAAAACGTTAATATTATTATAATTATTTACATATTATTTAACAATAATTTACAAATTCGAATCGTGAAAATGCGTAAGTGAGGATAATCAAGAGTCGAGCGAGAGAAAAAACAAAAACGCATCGTTAACGGTCGTCGAAAAAAGAATGCAGTTTTCTTGGTGGCCAGTGTCGCGTGGCCAAAAAAAAAGGCGCGCTACGTTTAGGCATCAGCACAATAAAACAAATTGTCGTTTTTTACCTAGTGAGTTTTAGGGCCTCATGACGAGTTGAATAAAATAAGAATTTATGTGAAAAAAAAAGAGAGATTCCATGCTCCGGAGGGCTTTTGAAGCCGTCGGTCTCTAAGGAATAGGGTTATTACTTATTTTCATCAGGGCATGCAAATGCATACCCTCAAACTAGAAGGAGTAGTGGGTTAAATGGAGCTCTCTACCAAAACCTGAAGGTGTCCATTGGGACGGAACTGTTACTGTCTAGGCTAGATGACCTTGAAATTCTTAGAAGCCCTTTTCAGGGCAATCATGGATGTCTCAAATTTTCCTCCATTCTTGCTTTGGGAACTTCTACGGGACAAAACAACATAATATTAATTATTATCGGCTGGTACTAAAAATAATCTCGGTTACTTCTGTCAGGAACAACCAATACCTACAACATATTAAATAATCTCAGTTACTTCTGTCAGGAACAACGAATACCTACAAGATACGAACATAATTAGTACAAGTTCATGGCAATCAATGATAAACTCCGCAATCCTAACACCAACACTCAGATTTCATTGCCGGAACCGTACTTAACCATCCACTGACGGCTAACTAAACTTGTACAGTTTACCTTTGTTAGCAATGTAACATTATTTATTAGCTACCAAACTTAAAGGGATTAGTGGATCGGTAAAGTTGAATTTCAATGACAACAAAGCTCGTAGTGAAGTTTATTAATTTAATCTATGGTCAGGGTAGGGCGTGGCGTTTCGGTTCAATGAGGACAAAAGTTTTGAACTTGCGTCAAGTAAGGGTAACTTTGTAGGTCGATGCTAATAGAATGAGGATGGCTACAGTTTCATGTACGAGAAGTTGAGTGAAGCACCAGATTTTTTACTTCTTTTTTTAGTTATACACCCGTATTCACAAACATTACTATGAGGTGTCACAGTGCGCGTGGACGCACAGGGTGACACACGAACCAATCATCCTCTATTCAACGCTGTGCACCACCTAACTTTGACCGTAACTATAACGATAATCGGCGTTTTTTGCATGGGGTTTGACAGATTTTTGACGTTTGTCAAAGTTAAAGTTAAATGGGGCAACTCAACCTAAACATCGTTTGTGAATACGGGCATTATAATAGTGTTGTAAGTACATTAGTATGACACATAAAAACGTTACTATGCAAATAGTATTCTAGAATATACCTACTCATTTTTAAAAATCTGCACATCATTCTCTCACATCTGGAAGTGATCGCTTCTAAGTGATAAGGAGCTACCTTCTTCAACTATTTGCGTGGAGTTGAATTAAAAGTATATATCTATCCGTTTTCATTATTCACATGAAGCCTAAACAGAAAAAAAATCACTAACAATCGTTGTAAGTATTATCAGTTTGAGAAAGGCGTTACCAAAAGATAAAAACAAATAACAAAGTTACAAATCTTTTAACCCAAAACTGCCCGGGAAAATGGACATATGTTGTTTTCCACATAAAACTTGTTTTGTGACGGAGAGGAGGGGAAATAGTGCGCAATTCTACTATTTTTACTTAGCAACATACGGTTTAGGATAACGGGACTTACACCCGTATTCAACGATGCTTGCTTAATGAGAATCGCGAAAACCCTCATTGAAGAAGTAAATCGAACGCACAGCGTTGAATAGAGCTCTGTGATTGGTTCGTGTGTCACCCTGTGCGTCCACGCGCACTGTGAGACCTCATAGTAATGTTTGTGAATACGGGCGTTAGTAAGCGTATAGTTTATGAAGTCCCCAGGCGGTCTCACGACTGTATCTGACTTGTCGCTGGTAGATTCTGGAGGGGTTTTATCCTTATTTTTGCCATTTTACGTCATTTTGACGCACATTGGGCTTCCCATGAGGCTATCTGCAGATTCGTATGGGCTGGTCATGATGATGATGATGATGAGGTTTTATGCTTAACCCCCCTAAAACATATTTTTGTTGTTTACAAAATATGTAAATATTGTACTGACATTCCCCTGATATCTTTTATTTAAAGGAAAAAACAAGCCACCCCCAAGAAATTTTATTTAATTACTGGATCTGGCAGAAAAAAATACAAAACTATAGTTTTGCCTTTTATAATAGCTTAGAAAACTGATTCTGAACAATATTCAAATTTCGCTGTATTTATGAACGCTAACAAAATACTCACTAAGCCTTCACAAAAAACAACAGAAACACGAGAGTTTTTAGTTTTCAATTGTTTCAGCATATAAAGTTTGTTTTGTTTGCCCAAGTCACATTTGCATTTGAATCGCCATCAGCGGATTTAGTTACCTTTTTGTAATAACACAAGCAACATTTGAAGTTTGAATAACAGAACGTTTTGCGTACTTACTAGAGATTATGGACATCTAATGGACGCGTATTTCTGATAAATAAATCAATTTAAGTATGTTGTTAAACTCGCATTTATACAGACACAATATCACTAAGTAAGGGTTGAAAAAAAAACAAACAACATCCCTAAGACCCGGTTTCCACTAATTTTCAACAAAAAAAAAATCGAGCGGAGAAATGTCTGGGGGACAATTTTTCTATAAAATTTTGACAGCAGCGGCGGCGCGGCACGACGGAGCAAAGCTGTGCGGAGCGGTAACGAGAAGGGGAAATAATGAAATCAAAACATTTTATAACTTGCTAAAATTGGCAGTTTAAATGAACCACAGAAATGCTTTAAAAGCAATCCACAGTTCATTTAGTTTTCTTTGCTCTTACACGGAATCCATTCTCCTGTTCATTCCATGTCCCTGTCGATATGAATTTAACATTCTACGTCTACGGTGCATTCTCTCCATTCTCTCGCTTTGAAAGGAACCATTTTTCTCTCGCTATTATAAATCCTTTCAGTGAAAACTTGAGGGTGTAATAAATAACTGACATCAATTTTTAGAATGTTATTCTAGTATTGGAAGTATTTATAGTCGGTTGCAGTGGTTTATTATAATAAGTACCTAGTTTTAGTTTTATGAGTACTCATCATCATTTTATCCATAAGACGTCCACTGCTGAACATAGGCCTCCCTCAATGATTTCCGTAATGACCGATTGGTAGAGGCCTACATCCTTTGCTTCCTGCTATCTGCTACCTGCTACCTTTATTTATGAGGTCCTCGGTCCACCTTGTAGGTAACTAGGTACTCAGTTTAGTACACATAAATATTTTTCAAATTCATGACATCGTTATCACTGGGACACTCGACCATTCACATACCAACCAATTCAACAGTACCACTCGTAGTCCATCTAAAAAGCCTAATTCATCAATAAAGGTTCTGAAGTATAATCTAACAAGTTATTTAGATAGACTCACTGTCACAGTTCTGGTATTATTAAACCTATAAACAGAACGTTTCTGTATTCCAAGCAGGAACACATTCAGCCATTCTATACATTAAAGTGAAGTCATTCTCATTACCCGACTATTATAGAACAGTGCTTAAAATGATGGTGTTATAACAGTGTTAAATATTATGTAGAGCCATTATGCGTAATGACTCTATGCTGCCGTTAAACTGCAGTGTTAGAGATGATCCATTTATACTGCAAGCATTACATTTTATGCTGTTATCATAACGATTTTAGTTTAAAATCAAATGGTTTCATTATCAACTTGGCGGTGAGTATTTTTTTATTTATCAAATCCAATCCAATCTAAATGTAGAATGTAGAAAGATCCTAATAGTTTATTTAGGCAAATGTTGCTATACATTAGCGAAAATATTTATTTAACATCAGGTATTTGCCTAGAATTTAGGCGACAATAACCCAATAGTATCAATGTCCGAATGCTGATTCTGAACTTGCTGAGGGTAGCTATTTTGAACTCTTTGCCGCTGGACTATAGTGACGAACCCGTTCGTAGCACGAGGTTATTTATAAAAGACCTATTAGTAATTTAGTACATACTCGTATGATTAATATTTTTTACACCAAGACCATCTCAATGAATGTGTTCTCAGGCGAATTTTAAAATTTAATTTTAGTCTTCCTTCTTCGATACCAGCCAATCAATACTACTGCTTTGCCCTACACTATGTCAATATCCAGCTCACCCCCACCGCAGATCGTTTACTATCCCGTATCACTTGTAAATGCTTTGTATTACACTCTATGTCGAGGCCTCCACAATATACTAGCGTGTCGGGATTGAATAATGCAACGCACAATACAATAGAGACGGCATTTGAGCAGGGTGACCGAGCTTTGTAAAAAACATGGGTTGCCTCAAGCGGAATTTTGGGTCCGTTATTGGTGACGTACAAATGGACAGTGGGTTCTGATTTGAAACTCAATGTTGCGTTAAAGCCGCGGTTTGGACGATCGGGCTTTTTTTCTCTTTTGTACAAAATTGAAGGGAAGAACAAGCCTTATTGGATCACTCGCGTATCTCAAATTTTCCAAGACTTTTTGAAGCATGTTTGTGTTTTATGCGTGATATGGAAAGGACTCAAATAGGGAAATGTTTAAGCATTTACAGCTGTTATTTAACGAGGGTATTCGCAATTAAAAT